CCCTGCTTATCTGCTGCGCTATGTTAGGCTCATCAGCAGTCAATCCCACAACACAATGATAATCATGCCCAGCCGGCAGGCAGTCAGGAACATGGCACGCGCTGACATATAAAAATGCCCAACGTACAAGGCTGACTCATGCACCAGTCCCTTCTCTCTGGACAAGACCCCGGCCACCCCACCCCCACCCCATGCAATGTCCTTCCTCAGCTCATTCTGTTTCTGAGCTACTGAAAAGGCAGAAACTCATTGCTCCTGAGTTGCTTCTGATCTAGTTCATGACCCCTGGAATGATATTGCTGTCCTGGTGTGGATTTTTATACTCTTTCCCACTTCTGTGTCAACTTCTTCCTCACCCCCCAATGCACAGCCGGTCAGAGAATCAACAGAAGAATACCACAGGACAGACAAAAGCACCTGTACGTTGGTCTGTAAAGACAGTATGTGATCAGTAGCTCTATCTTCCTGATCCTGTTTTTTCCTAGGCTAACTTGAAAAATGTACTTTGAGTACATTTGTACATTCTGCAGCTGGGAGCACGCAAAGAACTGAAGAAAAGCCACCTCTAAAACACACTATTGTACTTCACCCAGCAAATGATCACAATGTAGAAAATCAAGAGTTAAGCACATTTGGCAACTTCATTGACAGACCTTCGTGAATACATGTTTTTTCAAGACTTAGGGAAAGGTAGCTGGGACTGGTTAAAGTACAATTTTATGCTCTGACCAGAGGTATTTTCATATTAAAATTTGGCTGAATTCAGTTTCCTGATATGAAATCCAAGACCTGAAATTCAAATATACTATGAAATTAAAATACACTGTGAACGCTAAATAATACTCCATCTGTGCCAGGCCTAACCTTTTGCCAACAAAGACTAGGTAATCAGAGAAATTATTTATTATTTTTTTCTAATTGTGCTTTTCTCCAGAAGTCAAATACATGTAAGACAAACATAAGTTCTGACTATGAAAGTATAGACACACCAGTTTAAGTATTTACCTATAGGAAAACTCATTTATCTCACTCTCCTTAGATTTGGGGAAGAGGGTGATCAGAGTCGTGCAAGAAGGAATTTCTCTATGAGAGATAGGAGATTCCCCAAGAGGTGACAGCATCCCTTTCCTTGATACCTGTCACCATCACCCCTTTCTTTAGTCCATTGACTCCCACCTGAGAACCAGGAGTTCTGCCTTCTGTTCGTTTCTTTTTTTAACCATGCTAAGGGTAAGGGACCAGGGAAAGACAGAACTTTATATGACACCAATATCATAAAAGCCCCTTATTGAGAAGGTATTCCCAGGCCCTGGGCCACATCCACAGAAGTGCCAGAATGGCAGGAGAGCTGCCCCGGGGAATCTCCTTCAGAAATGGTCTGGCAGCCCTGATGCCAAGCCAATCACAAAGAGTAGCCTCACAGTCGCTGGTTAATGTTTACACAAAGCTTTGGAATCTGAGAGGAAGGTGCATTCCTCACGAGGTCTGTGGTTCAGGGGTAGACAATCCACGTAGTTCACTGCACTACCCGGCACTGAACGTCTCTGCCACGTCCCAGCTCTCTGAGCCATCGCCACTCCCATCTAACAGATGAGGAAGCCAGGGGCGGATTTGCCGCACAAAGGCCCAGCCACACAACAGCATGAATGCCCGAGGCCTCTGTGCCATTTCCCTCCTTTGGTCCTTAAACACAATCCAGTGACGTCTGCTGCATTATTACCTGGATTTTACAGAGAAGAACACTGAGCTTGAACAGGTAATAAGACTTTCTCAAAGTCATAAGCTCACTGGAAGCAGAGATCTAGGTCCACTCACTGGATGGGTGAGAAGTTTCCACACACTGCAGCTTAATATCACCCACAAATGGCCCAGCAAAGCAGATCCCAGGGAATGAATGGGACACTATTCAAGTAGTGAAGCCCTGACCCAAGCAGAAAGGAAGGAGATTTAATCCTATTAGTTGAAGAGAAAACCTATTGAGTCATTCCCATTTCCTATAAAGACAAAAGACTTACAGGGTTGCTTAGTTCTTAGAACTTCTGCCTTTACTCAACACCACGTCTGAGTGTGCATTGACTTAGACTGACATGCTTTTCATTTTAAAGAGGGTTTGTTGCATTTTCCTGAAGTAATTTTGTTTCTTGTTGGTGTAAGCAGGGAAGGACACAGAGGCTGGTCCATGAGGGAGCAGCACGTTTCTGTGGGATGAGTCAGAAAAGGAGAGTATCCACCATCCACAAGCAGCCCTGAAGGGACAAATCTGGGACTGCCCTGAGGGGCCCAGAAAGCCCTCGGGGAGGGGCTGCGTACCTTGACTAAGACTGTGCAATACTCAGGATGGGGGTGGAGGGGTCTATAAGACCCTGCTGACTTCCCCAAACAGAAGAGCAAAAGCAGAAAACTCCAGGACCAAAGGTGAAGACTGTTCTCTTCTTCATGTATTTCTACCCCACATCAATACCTTCTCCTTTCAGTTCATCCCCCTCCCCGAGGGCAGGAAGACCAGAAACCATCACAATCATATGCTGGGCTCCTGCCACCACCAACCCCTCTCAGGCAGGAGCCCCCCGGGTGGAGGCCACTGATCTGTGGCCACTTTGGTCTTTGCTTACGAGTTTCAACTAATAGAATTGCACGTCCAGTGGGAAGTCTTGGGGGTAAGAAGGGACATGACCCGCAGATTCATAATCTCTTGAGGACCTGCTAAGAGCAGCTCAGAAGCTGGGCCTCACTAATGCTGCCCTTTCCCTCCTCCTAAGCAGTACTTATCTGTTTGTATTTTGTTAATATAAATTGCTTAAAGGGTTAGCAATTCAGCTCCGGAGCCAGACCACCAGGCATACTCCTGTGCCTCAGTTTTTACTTTTGTAAGATGGGATATTAATGGAGCTTATCTAAAAGGCTTGTTATTACATTAACTGGCCCCAAGAATCCAGTGAGGAAAAGCTGCTAGGACAGGGCGGTGGAGAGATGACCCTCAGAGAAGCCAGAAAGCAGAGGAGATGTTGAGAAATACTTTGGGGATAGAGTAGCCACAGCTCAGTGTGGTTTTGTGATTTATAATAAGCAACATACAGTGGAAGTTCCTCCGGGTCCTGGCACTGACTGCCTAAGCCCTTAGAATTTCCAAAGTGAAGAGAGTGATAAAGTTGACTTTTAGAAAAACACCTGTGGATGGGCACTGGTTGCCAGGGAAACCAGTTTCATGATTAAAGGATTAATAGAATGTTCATGCCCACCCCTGTCCTCCAGGGAGGGGAGGAAGCGGGAGGGCGAATCAGCCCCCAGGGCTGGTGATAGAATCAATTCTGCTGTATAATGATGCCTTCATAAAAACCAAAGGATGGGCTGCAGATTGCTCCCTTTGGTGCACGTGTGAACACTAGGGGAAAAGGGTGCCCTCAGAGGGCGTGGAAGCACGGCGCCCCCTCCCACATGCCTTGTCCCTTGCATCTTTATCATCTGGTGGTTCCTGAGTTACATCCTTGGATGATAAACGGGTGACCTAGTAAGTCAAATGTTTTTCTGAGTTCTGTGAAGTAATGGGACCCAAGGAGGGCATAGTGAGAACCTCCTATCTATAGTTAGTCTGTCAAAAGTCTAGGTGACAATCTAGGCCTTTGGTTGGCATCTGAAGTGCAGGTAGGGGCAGTGAGGGGTCTGAACCCTAAACCTGTGCGATCAGATCTTACTTTCAGGTGGATGGTGTTAGAATTCAACTGAATTATAGCACAGCTGGTGTTGGAGCATTGCTTGATGATGGGAGGAGACACTGGAATTGGATACAGAATTATCCTTGGTGATTGGACATGACAAAGGACATAGAGAGGAAAGAGGGGAGGGCTCTGAATTCAGGGGCCAGATCTGGGTCCTGCCTGCTGCACCTAACAACTGTGGGGTGAGGTCTTATTTAACCTCTTAAAATCTGCCTTCTGAATCCCCCTGGAACTGTTGTTAGATTTAAGGAGTTCACGTGGGGAAAGACACTTAGCACAGGTGTGGTGCAAAGTAACACTCAGTAAAGGATGGCACTCCTGTGGAAGGCAAAGGCCAGAGAACCCAGGGCAATGCTATAATCTCTACTTGGGAATTTGGAGGAATGCTGAGGACAGTAATTGCAATTAGAGATGCTGAGCATAGGTTTTATGGGGAGGGTGAACATAAATTTGGTCTTAGGAATGTCGAGTCTGATGGGCTGTAAAACCTGAAGTGTTGCCAGCATCCCCATGTTTATTGCGGCTTTATTTTCAACAGGAAAGAGATGTAATCAACCCAAATGCCTTAAAGTAGATGAATAGATTAAAAAGATGAGGTACTATGGAATATTACACAGCAATCAAAAATATAAACTCATGCCTTTTGCAGCAACATGGATGGAGCTGGAAGGGATCATGCTTAGTGAATACACCAGAAAGAAAAGGAAAAATACCAGATGGTTTCACTCATAGCGGGTGTATAAAGGACCAGGGGGAGAAAAATAATAATAATGAACAACTATATACCAGAGACATTTTATGGGGTAGAGTGGGGAATGGGATAAAAAATGGGGGTGTGTGCATGGGCCTATGGTGATGGCACACAGGTGAAATGGTGATGGGAAGTCCACGGGGATTGCAGCCGAAATGGAAAAGGCATTAAATGATATAAAAATAAACTATTATAAAAAAAATTTCACCCATTAAAAAAAAACAAAACACTGAGGTGTTGGATATAGCCAGTGACAGACACCAGAACAATGGCTAACCCCAGAGAGGATGGGCTAGTGAGGGAGGAAGAACAGTCCTGTTAAAAGACAGAAGATGTCAAGAAGGAACTTGATGTGTGTTCAGCTACTAGAGAACAGGAGTCAGTTCTGTTTTGGGGGGGGGGGGCTGGAGAAATTCTGGTTTCTTCAATGGGGAAAATGAAAGCTAAAACCCAAGACCATCTGGGTCTCTGGTTCCATCCACTGGGCAGTCTTCACTGGCCCAGGGCAGTCCTCAGGGAACTGCTATCCTTACCTCCAGGTATTGGCTCACCAGGCGTAGAGCACGGTCACTGATGTTAAATACGTCCCTCCAGTCAAAGTTGGCCATGCCATCAACCTGCTTCTGTTGGGGACCGTTATATAGGAAATTCAGTATGGCTTTGGCAGGAAAACCTTCACCAACATGCCTATTCAAAAAGTCTTTCACTGCTGGGTTCTGCAGAGTGTCCTGGGAACAAGCAATACAGATGCAGAACTTAGAAATGCCAAGGGTCTCTGGTCTTGTTCTTGGGCCATTCCCGCTTTAAAAAAATAGGGGTACAGACTTTAAGTCTCCCAAAAAGACAGTGGGTTTTCTCCCATTATAAGGCATACCTACTCATCCCTTTCCCCCTGAAAACAGAAGAATTGCTACAGAAGAGGAAGTTGCGTATGTCGGGAGTGAGGGGACAGGGGCAGGGTAATTGGAACACAGGAAACTATATTCTTCTTAAGGGTTTTTTGTTCTCCTTGACCTATCCTCTGATAGAGGACTCTTATCTCCTTTGCATAGTGGAACTAAGAGCAGCTAGACACATTCAACCACGTTTGCTAGTACAGACTTGGCCCCTCAGGCTAACACTCTTTTGTATATAAGATTCTCAAGAGAACCACAAAAGTAAGAAATTTCAGAAAATCACTAGTCTTATGGCCATTTTTACATTTCCCTCAATTGAAGAAATATATTTTCTACCTGCTCTGCAGCCACCCCAAACTGGGTAGGCTCACTGTTGGTGCAGGCAGCTTGAAAGGGAACCCTGGCACCCTTGGCCTCATCCACACAGGTTTTTTAATAATATGAAGGGGAAATAGGCCAGCAGGGAGACAGCTACTTGGGCACCCTGGACTCTACCTGCCCCTCGCTTTGGGCTTTCTCTGGTGTTCTGTAGTGGTCTCTTCCTTCCACTCTGTTGCTCATCCTCTTGTAGCCATTCTCTACCACAGCCTTCCTCTGAGTGACGCCGCCCTTACAGCATCCACCCCCAGGCTCAGGTGCGCCCACTCACGTATGCCCACACCATAGTCCAGGTGTCCACCACCAGGCACGCCCACTGTACCCACAATCCCAAGCGCCTCCTGCATTAACACTGGTGCAAAAGCCTGGCCAGTTCACTCACCCTACACCACCCAAAGAAAACCACTTCACTTGGTGACAGCTTCTAGAACTAGGGCCTTTTCTATTTGGATTTCACTCTAGTGGTGATTAACCCTTAGCTTAGAAAAGGGAATTAATGAAACTTTGGAGGCCTTGCTCTTTCTCCCCTGTCCTCCCAGCCTCCAAGGTCATCCATACTTTGATCATGGCCATCTGTACACTCTTGTCCAAGAAGGACCAGATCTGGGGTCCCACTTCTTCCCAGGCTTTGACCAGCTTTCTCAAGCGTGCCACCTCTTCAAATGTTGAGTTGGCCTAAAAGCAGGCAGAGAGTGGGACAAGAAGAGAAAAACATGTCAGGGAGTCGTTGGCTGTATCTTCTCTGTGCCTGCCATGAACCCTCAATGTTTGGGCAAAGCTTTTCAAGGAAATGGCTTTATTTTGCCAATCCTGTTTCCCAGAACAGGCGGCTATGTCTCAGCCTCCCAGGTGGGCAGAATCTAATCTCAGAATCTCAGACGAACATGTAAAATTGATGATGCTATTGTTTCAGAACCTCATTTAGGTTAGATTTGGACTCCCTGTGAGCAAATGCTCCTGCTCCCTTCCTCCCTGTCATTGTCTGTTCCCGGTAGACAGGATCCAGAGAACTGTGAACCCCTCTGTCAAGAATTGAGCTCAGGTGGTGGGAAAAAAAACCTCCATGTGGGCTGCCCTGGGAGGCTCAGACAGGGGCGCTGGCTGAAAACATTCTAATGATGCTTGTAGATGTGTGAGGAGCCCAGGTCCATTTAGCAAAAACAAACAGGTTGGTGACCAGAAGGATACAGTAAAAAAATACACTCACTCTTTTGAGTTACCCAGGGCAGAGAGGACAAAATCAGGTGGGATCTTACATGCTTGAGTATCCTGCGCGCTGCAGGGCAGTCTGGAGTGAAGAGGATTTTTCCCATCAGCAAAGGCTTTGCTGCCCTCCATGCTATTTTGGTTAAAGGATTTGACTCAAGGCTTTGGATCAATGAGTTACAAAAGGTCACTGCCAGGAGAGAAGAGACAGATTTTATAGAAAACTCCCCGTTACTCAATGTTAAACATAGTCATTTAGTGTGTTCAAATCACATGTCTCATTCAATCCTACGCTGCAGGATTTGACAAATAACCTACATTAATGGGCTGCTTCCCACCAATAACAAGCTCATCATTAGCAAGTAACAAAATGCTACAGTGCATCTCAATAAGGGCCTCATCAGAGAGACAAAGGATGGGGCTTTCCCATGATTATTCTGCTTTAGAAAGAGGCTGAGACGCCTGTGCATGATCAAGGCTGGAGAGGCAGAGGCCCTTCTCCAAAGAAAGGGACGGAGAGGCCAAACAAGGCCTCCCCTTGGAATCTCAGCTTCGGCCTCAATAATTTCCCTTCACTGAGCTGCTTAGCTTCTTTGTTGTGTGGACTGTCTTACGGCCCAACGGCCTTTGGTGTGTGCCTCGACGCGTCTTTTCTTTTTAAACTGGAGGGTGGCCCAGTTGCAAGTTCTTCCCCACCCACCCTCCTTTACCCTATAGCAGACCCCCACCGAAAAAAAATTGTAAAAGGTAGAAAAGATGACTTGCCAGGGACCTGCCATTTGGACCGTAATTCAGTACTATACACACAGACTTTCAGTGCATTGTGTTTGGAAAAACATCCCCACAGCCGTGTTTACTTGCCAGGGCCCTCTGACCTGCGCTCTGCTTGCAATTCTGGGTTGCCTCCTCGTTTATCTTTCTTCTCTTCCTCTAGAACTTAACCCTAGTTCAATCAGATCAGTGGGAAATATCCCTTCTGTTCCCTTTCCAAGTGGGTCTCAGTTCTTTCCATGGCTCACATCCAGAATTCTTTATGAGCGCCAACTGCCCTCTTTCTACAAAAGGAAAATGAACTTTGGGGAGGTGAAGTCTTTCTGTACATGGCCCCTAAATGAGACCCAGGGAGAGGCTGCCCCAGGACTGCTTTCACCTGGAAGCATGAAGCCATCAACTTAACCGACATCAGAGGCTGAGTATACACAGGACTCAGAAGACTTACTTGTTCTTTTATCATAGGAGTAGCTGGGACCTTTCTTTGTAGAGTCAATCCCCAGGAAGGCCTTATAGTTATTGTCTTCATACCAGTTGAAGGAGAGCACCCGGGAGCCGCCTCCCTCTGGATAGCCACAGAAGAGATCAGACAGGATGCCCCCCAACTCCATGAGGGTCACTGGACCATTCTTCTGCATGAGGGGCCTGGTCACCCACAGCAAGTCCTGAACGCTTGGCCTATGGATAAACTAGGGAAGGCAAAGGCTGCGGTTACTTTCAGGCTGTCAGAATCATCATCTGCTATGAAGCTCAAGTCTAAAATTTGGGTGTTAGACATATGAAATATTCACGTCCTCAGCATCCCTTAGTGTAGCTATATATAAAAACCTACACCACCCACTCAGGGTCTAGGAGGAAACTAGTATGAGTCTTAAAATCAAAGAGTGAACCCCAAAACATTCTAATATTCCACCTCTCTTCTAATCCCCTTTATCTGAATTCACTGGGAGTGTATCCTTGGAGAAAAGTAGACAAGTTATCCCTGGGAGTCAGTTCTGGGTTCTGTTACCCTACCAAGATGGAGATACTAGAACAAATGGAAAATAAAATGATGGAACGATAGTTTTATCCTAGAAAAGTTAAAGTCTGAGCAAATGTCTTTCACCAAATAGTTTAGTATTTAGTTTCTTATTTGGACAATTATCTCTCTACTATTTTAATTTTACCAAATGTGAATTCTTCCATTTCCCTAAAACGTGGTTTTCTTTAGTGTGTGTATATGTGTATGTGTATTTTAAGATACAATCTAATAAAGAACAGATACACTCTATTCTTGGAAAAGCACTTTTACAATTCCGCATCAGGCTAAGAAAGGGCTGCTGGTCTTTTCTCTCCAGTTGGGCACCCACCAGCCCCATGCTTTGAAGACAGATCTGCTGTGCTGAGAATTAAGCTAAGGGTCTCTGCTCCCATAATGCCTTTTGGTTTTGCTTTAGGGAAAAATACAAAATAAAGACAATGCCGCTTTGATTCCCAAACATAACTTATTACTCATTTTCAAAGGCACTTGGGAATTTAAAAACCATTTAGATTCAGTCAGGTGAGACTGAAAACAGTTGCCCTGCTGCAGTAAGTGATGTTTACCTGTCATCCCTCTCTCTGTCCACATGCCAACACTTGCCCTCCGACACTGTTGAGCACTATGCAGAATCCAGAGTGAGTCATGCCTATAATCACAGTCTAGGCTTCAATAATAAAGTCGGAATCTCAAATTGCTTCAACAACAGTAAGTCTTATGACAGTCTTGTAAGGGATTATTACCATTATTATGTTGCTCATTTAATCAAAGCACTCAGAGATGAAGGGGCCGTTCCAGGGTGAAGGTGTGTAGTAACAGTTAATATAAACCGGGCTGTCAGCTTCAGCCTAGTTCTCAAGAGCATAAACTTGCTATCAAGGAAACTTCTGGACTCCCACAGGGAATGAGGAGTGTTGATATGCTTTGGAGATTTTTTTTTTTAGTTCCTTATCAACTTCACCCCTATTATGATGATATGAATTTTTTAAGTGTTTATGAAGACAAGAATGTTAAACAGAGACTCCCACTGCAGCAGGTGGCCAGCAGTGCTCCAGGCCCTTCCCTCTGCCCAGCACAGCTCACACTTTGGTTAGGTAGAGTCTAGATTTATGAAGACAGACCAACAGGCACTCTCCCAGGTTGGTTACATCTAAGTCAGCTGATATACTGCAGTGGGGAAACAGTTTAGGGGAATTCACCTTTTGGCTCCCTTTCAAAATACTCATTACACTTGAAGGGAATTGTGTATTTCACAGCCCTCTTTCCTGCTGGACTGGACATCTCACAAGAGCAGTGACTATATCCATTAAGTGCATCATCACACCCCAGCACAGCTCATCTACTGAGTGGAGAATCAGTTTCTGTCAGGCAAAGCCTTGTGCAATCAGATGTTAAATAAAATGTGCACATCTTCAGCAACAAGCAAAAAAAAAATCAGTTACTTTCCTTAATGAGCTGAGCTGACATATGTAAGACACTTAGACGAGAGCCTGGCAGAACGCTCCATAAGACTGTGCTATTACCACCGCTATAGGTTTATGTGGAGTTGAAGAGCACACGGGGCCATGTTAGTTCTGGACAGACTCAGGTGGATTGTTAGTTCACCGACAACCTGCGCCAATCAGACAAAGTGACATTTCTTCCTGGGGTGATATCATAAGTATGGTTCCTCCGACCCAGGAGCACAGATAATTTTGGACACAAAGGATGCTTTGAAATTGCTAGATGGAAAGCGCAAACGTATTTCTCCTTGAACAGATTTGCAAGTGCAATGAAATCATCTGACGTAACAAATGTGGTAAAATGGTATAAAGTTATGAGGACATTATAATTACTACTGTCAGGTCACTTACCTCTTGAATTCTTGATGACAGATCCAATAATATTCTTCCCCAGGATCTCAAATCAATACCTGGAGAATTTCTGTCTAGCAGAGTGGGAAACTAGAATTGATAGGAAAAGCATATTTATTTCTACACACACATATCTATGCAGTTATCCATACCAACACGGGCACTATCTGATCTCTAGTATGCTTGGAAAACATTTCCTGCCTTCTGTCTAATCCCAGGGCTTCTTCTGCAAGCTCACTTTCAGAACCCAATTTCTTTTTTCTAATTGAGAAAATCAAAGGCTCTTATTCTAGTCACCCTGCTGAGCTAGTCAATCACAAATAGTTTCACGGTGACATTAAATATGCCAAAGTGATTCTGAGGGCTAGTTTAGTGACACCAAACAAGACTCCTGGAGGAAGGAAAACAGAGAGCAGCTGCTGGAGGGAAGAGGAAAGCGGGAGGCTGTGTGCAGGGGCCATCTGTTCACCTCGCCTGGGCTCCGGACACTCCCGGCTTCCTTGTCATTGTTTCAAGTCTTTGCTCCCATTTGCGTCCTTTTCAGGCAGGTTGTGTCTTTTCCTCTGCCCAGTGCTATTTACTTTCTTATGGAAAATTTGGCCCTTTACATCACCTTTCTTTTTAAGTTGCTGCTGCCTGCAGCTTTAAAGAGCTCAGTTCCTCTGCTGCTTCTTCTGTGGACAGCAGTGACTCCAGGCCCAAGTGACATTACAGAGCTATTCACGCACCTTCCACCTCCCTGCAGAACACGGAAGCCCATGACTATGCTGGCTGCAAGTCCCAGGGCCCGATGGGAACGCCTTGTTTTCCAGAGACCAAGTTCAGGTCCTGAATGAATGACTTCATTCTTCATGGTTTCAAGACAGACTGAATCACTGATCTCATGTCTTCATGACTGAATTCTAAGTTTTAAGGCGGTGTTTTTCAGACTCAAGTGTGTGTCTTGACTAGGCCTGGAGGGGATCTGTGTTTTTAACAAGCTCAACATGTAATTCTGATTCATGTATTTGTGGACCACAAGCCACAAGCCTGGGCTTTTTATTTGCCAGTGTGGTTCTCCTAAATGATGGGTGGATGAACCCAGCAGTGACACAGAGGAGAAGCAGCAGGTGGAGTTAGGCTTCTACCAGCCCCGGCTCACTTCTAGCTGTGGCCTACCCTGTTTGCCCTGCTGTCATAGAAGGGCCCTCACATCCCCTTCACTCCTGAAACCCAAAGGGAAGTGTTGGCGTACTCATGGACCTTTAGCATTTCAAGCCAGTTTTCGAAGAATAGAATGAAGACTTTGGTATACACAAGAGATACAGAACAACAGGAGTACTTTCCAGAGGATGGAGCTCAGGCTGATTTTTCAAACTACACATGCCGAGGAGTACCTTCTCTCCTCAACCTGAGTGCCAGGTCTAGACACTGATCTTCCAGGATTCCCTTTCAAACTCCTTGAAAACATCTTTAATGTATACTGGGGGAAGCACAGTTTTTCCCATAGGAGAGTGGGACTAAGAAATGTAGGGAGGAAGAGAGGATGCCAGCATGGGAAATGTATGCCAAAGACAAGCTATCATCTGGCCCTGCAGGTTCCTTCTAGCTCTTTCCAGAAAGATCTATTATAGATGAAAAGGGATCAAGAGGTATCAGGAAGCTGCCATGTGTGTCTTACTGTGTTGATCTGAATAATCCAGAATAAAAAATTGAATCTGGCAGGGTATTAAGAAGTCACCATTAATTTTGTTGAGTGTGACCACGACATTGCAGTACTTTTAAAAGTAAACAAGTACTTTTTAAAAAATCTATTAGAAATACACAGGTACAGATGTAGGGGTAAAATGATATGTTGTCTGTGATTTGCTTGAAAAGTAGTGAGGGACAGATAAAACAAGAATGGCGAGATTTGGACAATAGTTGAAACTGGGTGATGGATGCTTATAAGTTCAGGATACTCTCTCTCTCTCTCTCTCTCTCTCTCTCTCTCT